CTGTCCCGCCCGGAAATCCAACCTGGAATCCCCCGTTTATCTGTCAGGAAGGCAGCCAACTGTACTACGAGAAATATAAAGTTCTGTAGGTCAGTAGACGAGACATGTTGTTTTTACGGAATCCTGACCAAAAGTCCTTTGAGATAGAGAGATATTAGAAAACCTTAGAGCTAATTGTAATAAGAAAACACGTCTGCTGTGTATCTAATTAGAGCTTGTTAATAAAACAAACAAAAACGTCAGCATTGATACCCGATGCTCTGCATACAATTGTTAAAATACTTATTAAAGAGATGTTAGATTTCGCTCTTTTATAACCTATATAATCAAGTGTTTCTGTTTCAGACCCTAAGTTAGATAAACAAAATATAGGCTAAGCTACACAGAAAACTTTTCATGCAGGAATGGTATTAAAAAGTATTTCTGAGCTCAAGCGAAACAGAGAATGGAGAATTAATTTTAATAAACTATGTAATACATATGAAGCAGCCTGATGAGGGTTGAGCCTGAGCGGGAGATGCACTTCGAGGAGTCATTATCGCTCCAAAATGACGGTCCAGAGGCTAGAATTTATCCCTCACAAATGTTGGATCAGTCAGTGATTAACAGTAGACGCCGCTGGCTTTCAATTTCACTAAGCTTAGAGTGGTCAGCTAGAACCAATTGAAGTTCTGATTGATTGATTGATAAAGATTAAGCCACCCAAAAGGTGGCACGGGCATGAATAGCCCGTAAGTGGTGGCCCTTTTGAGCCATTACCAGTATCAAGAGCTGATACTGGAGATCTGTGGAGGTGCGACTGCTCCCTGCGTGACGGGAGATGTCTCCCGTGTGGAGAAGGGACTGAAGAATCGATTGATTGATTGATGAAGATTAAGCCACCCAAAAGGTGGCACGGGCATAAATAGCCCGTAAGTGGAGGCCTTTTTAAGCCATTACCAGTATCAAGAGCTGATACTGGAGATCTGTGGAGGTGCGAATGCACCCTGCGTGACGGGAGATGTCTCCCTTGTGAATGTGTTAAGATGAAGATGAAGCCACCCAAAAGGTGACACAGGCATGAATAGCTCGTAAGTGGTGGCCCTTTTCGAGCCATCACAAGTATCAATAGATGATACTGGTGATGGCTCCAGTATCAATAGATGATACTGGAGATCTGTGGAGGTGCGACTGCACCCTGCGTGACGGGAGATGTCTCCCGGACCAAATGGTGACCGGTCCTGATGTTGATTGATGATTGATGAAGATTAAGCCACCCAAGAGGTGGCACGGGCATGAATAGCCCGTACGTGGTGGCCCTTTTGAGCCATTACCAGTATCAAGAGCTGATACTGGAGATCTGTGGAGGCGCGACTGCACCCTGCGTGACGGGAGATGTCTCCCGGACCAAGTGGTGACCAGATGGTGACTGAAGAATCTGATTGATTGATTGATGAAGATTAAGCCACCCAAAAGGTGGCACGGGCATGAATAGCCCGTAAGTGGAGGCCTTTTTAAGCCATTACCAGTATCAAGAGCTGATACTGAAGATCTGTGGAGGTGCGAATGCACCCTGCGTGACGGGAGATGTCTCCCTTGTGAATGTGTTAAGATGAAGATCAAGCCACCCAAAAGGTGACACGGGCATGAATAGCTCGTAAGTGGTGGCCCTTTTGAGCCATCATCAGTATCAATAGATGATACTGGAGATCAGTGGAGGTGCGACTGCACCCTGCGTGACGGGAGATGTCTCCCGGACCAAATGGTGACCAGATGGTGCGTTTTTTTTGTCTATAAGAATTCAATTCTCTGATGTGTACTATGGACGATGGGAAGTTCTGAAAATGGTGACCGTGATTAGCTAAGGCTGCCTATGCTAATGACTAGTTCTTCACCTTTTTGAACGTTCACTAAAAATTTATGACTATTTTGTTGAACATAAGAACAAAGGTAACTGCAGAAGGCCTATTGGCCCATACGAGGCAGCTTCTATTTATTACCACCCAATCCCACTCATATACATGTCCAACCCACGCTTGAAACAATCAAGGGACCCCACCTCCACCACGTTACGCGGTAATTGGTTCCACAAATCAACAACCCTGTTACCGAACTAGTATTTACACAAGTCTTTCCTAAATCTAAACTTATCCAATTTATACCAATTGTTTCGTGCTCTGTCTTGTGTTGATACTTTTAATACCCTATTAATATCCCCTTAATAGGGCATTAAAGTTCAAGTAGGTTTATTGAGAAAAGGAAGTACATTTTAAAAGGATAGAGTAGCTCAGGCTATTTCTTCCCCTCGTGTATATAGGTCCCTCAAGGGGCTCACAAACCCATACAGTACACAATTATTAATCATATTCTACATTTCACATTCTAATGGTAATCACATGGCATACTACAAGATTTACTTCCTTTTTGTTTTAAACGTGGGTTGGACATGTATATGAGTGGGATTGGGTGATTATAAATAGGAGCTGCCTCGTATGGGCCAATAGGCCTTCTGCAGTTACCTTTGTTCTTATGTTCTTATTGATTATGCTGCCCCTGTCTTGTCTTGTCTTGTGTTGATAAAGGCAAACTAAACATGTTGGAGAAGGTACAAAATGAAGCCATGAGAATAATCCCAAAATTATTCACATAGTCCAAGAAATGCAATTATTGAGATAATGATGATATGATTGAACTTATATAGTATTGGGGATAGAATTTCAGAGATAAATGAAGCTTCGGTGATTAGATTAATGAAAGGTGAAAATAATTAATGAAATTCAGTTATATACATATAGTATACTTATAGTTGAGTATTTATATATAAATATTCGGCAAATAGGTCGAGGTTGCTTCAATAGGCTAATAATACAGTAGCTAGTTTTTAGCAAATGTTGGTGTGATGTAACTTTTTTGGGATGTGTTTAGGCCAGACATCGATGTATCGAATTGATTAATGAAAGGCGAGGGAGCTAATGAATGAATCCTCTCGCTTCAAAAGGTGGGAAGAAATGAATAATGCATGTGAAAGCATAATAAGATCCTCATGTTCTAATGTTACAAAGCATGATGTCCTTCAAGAATGTATTTCATTCATTCATTCATTCACTGGAAAGGCGAAGAGTTAGGAGTGACATGATAGAGGTTTACAAGTGGATGAATGGACACAACAAAGGGGATATTAATAGGGTATTAAAAGTATCAACACAATAGAGAACACGAAACAATGGGTATAAATTGGATAAATTTAGATTTAGGAAAGACTTGGGTAAATACTGGTTCGGTAACAGGGTTGTTGATTTGTGGAACCAATTACCGTGTAACGTGGTGGAGGTGGAGTCCCTCGATTGTTTCAAGCGCGGGTTGGACATGTATATGAGTGGGATTGGGTGGTTATAGATAGGAGTTGCCTCGTATGGGCCAATAGGCCTTCTGCAGTTGCCTTTGTTCTTATGTTCTTATGTTCATTGCCAAAGAAACAATTGACACCAACATGGGAGGAATACAAAGTAGATGCAGTCATTTTGCTCTTTATGTTCCCAGACTCTTAACTTTGCTGCGGTCTGCCAATTAATTGATAATCGAAACAGCCTCCCAACATTTAAAAGTCATTGAGAAGCAATGTCGTCTAGGTCAGAGACTCCCAACATTTTGAAATTTCTTCTTGCTTAGCACTTAAGAACATAAGAACAGAGGTAACTGCAGAAGGCCTATTGGCCCATACCAGGCAGCTCCTATTTATGTAGACCATCGACTTGAGAATGGTCCAGGACGGACCAAAACGTCGTCGTCCCTTCACCTTCTAGTGTGTGGTCTGGTCAATATAATTTAGCCATGTTATTGTGACTCATCGCCTGCAGCTCCTATTTATAACCACTCAATCCCACTACCTTTAAATACTACTATCATGAAAGGTAACTCTATTCATAACAATGTCTTCCAGATCTATTTTTGTAAACCATTTTCCTGAGCTTCTCCGTCAACATTTTCCACCACACGGGGTTGAACACTGCGCATCATTAGTGAATAGGTAATTTTCCTGAGTTAGTGGTCCATCTCTACATATTGGTACTTTCCACCAAACAGCAATATACTATAATTTCAGGAGGATGGGTTGCTTGCATGGACCTTACCAGGAATGAAGCACTAATGACAATTAAGGTTGGGAAGTCTATCGCCCAGGGGGAGGATTACCTTACCTTGTGGTTACCTTTTTTTGCGAAGGTCTCTGACCCGGTCCCAGAGGCCCGGTCTCTGACCAGGCCTCCTGCGGTTGTTCATCAGGTCAACCAGGCTGTTGGACGCGGCTGTATATTGTACACATTACATTATGAAACATAATCATTAAGCACCGAATCACCTTCTGTGGTTGAGTGTTCAATAAACCCTTGAACTATATGTTTAACACTTCTCTAACCCTGTCCATGGAGGACAGAAGAAAATATATATATGCTGGTTAGCATTTTAAATGTGTGGCCACGTTTTTTCTACCACGTGGTAGAAAAAAAACTGCTTTCTTAACATCAGTAACCCAATTTAGCCCAACCTATTTTTTAAAATTAATCGAAAAAGTAGCAAGTAACCAAACCCATGACGTCCAGCCCTAAACGTACACAGTTACATATATATCGATCATAATTATAATTGAATAATATATGGCCATGGCTTATAGGTATACCATTCTAGAGGCCTATTGTAGCTGAATATTCATACAAAGTCATGGCAATCAGCCATGTAATGACGCAATTTTTCAGACCATCCCCAGGCCACCCCCCGGGCCGGCCACCGAGCCCCAGGTCAGGTGGTCATATTCTCTTGTCAAGGTCAGCCCTATTTTGCCGTCCTGCGGCCTCCTTGTATTTTAACCAGGAAATCGTATATGAAATAACGTATAAAAATATACATATATAGATATATTCCGTATTCGGCGAGGAAATAGAGCGAGGGGAGGTGAGAGATGAGGGGGCTGAAGGGGGCTGTGAGGGGTCATGTGGGTGCCGGAATAAGCGGGAATTATCGCGCATGCTCACCCCCAGTCACAACAAACATGGCGGCGAGTAGTGAGGAGAAAGGTCTGCTGGGCGCAGCTAATAAACCCCACAGACGCTACGGCAGTACCTCAGTCAACATGAAGAAGCCGGAGAACGTGATCAGGCACCGGGTGTCGAAGCAGGATACGTTACAGGGCATCGCGCTCAGATATGGCGTCACGGTGAGTCCCTCACACAGTGGGTGTTGTCACTCGCACTCTCACACACTCTCCATCGACTCGTTCCATTTGACTTGTCAGGTCTTGAGTGCCTCCCTGTGCCCCCCCCACCTCTTTAGCACACCCGGCCTACCTGTATACCCAGTTATATACATATAGTATACTTCTAGTTGAGTATTTATATATAAATATGCGGCAAATAGGTCGAGGTTGCTTCAATAGGCTAATAATACAGTGACTAGTTTCTAGCAAATGTTGGTGTGATGTAACTTTTTTTGGGAAGTGTTTAGGCCAGACATTGATGTATCGAATTGATGTATCCAGACATCAATTCTTACTACCTAATATGTGGTTTGACGTGGCCCCTGTGGCTTCTGTTAGGTTTGACGTGGCCCCTGTGGCTTCTGTTAGGTTTGACGTGGCCCCTGTGGCTTCTGTTAGGTTTGACGTGGCCCCTGTGGCTTCTGTTAGGTTTGACGTGGCCCTGTGGCTTCACAGTGCAGTGTAAATATGAAAAAATATGGCATGATCCTTTAATTTGTAAACCCATTATATTATGGGGAGTATGAGCTGAAATATGACAGTTTACTTGAAGGGAACCTTAAATATACTGCTGGTGTATAGTCTGGTGTATAGTGTTTTGTAATGTCACGATTACATAAGTAATGTAATGTACTTGGTGAGCCAAATTAGCTGCAATATGTGGTATTTTGAAAACGAATATGCTCAATAATGTACTTGGTACATTATTGTAATGTAAAAAAGTAATGTATTTGGTGAGCTAAATTAGCTGCAATATGTGGTATTGTGAAAACAAATATGCTCAATAAATAATCAAGAAATATGCAGAAAACTTGGATTTGCCGCTTGGGGTCTCGCTTCATGCAAGTTGGGATTCTATTCCTGAACGTCCAAGTGGTTGGGCACCATTCCTCTTCCCGTGTCCCAACCGCTAATCCTTATCCTGACCCCCTTCCAAGTGCTATATAGTTGTAATGGCTTGACACTTTCTATCACACTGATAGTTGGCTTGCCACTAAGAGTGATACATCCTCGACATATGTACCACTCTTGTTGGTACCACAACCCCGACAAGAAAGGTATTGACTTAAAAGGGTAATTGTAATCAATAAGTGATTTGTATACATTTGAAATACTTACATCACTGGCTGGATGATGTATATCATTGTTATCAACTGTTATATATTATATCATAATATGATATATTATCTTATCATAATATATCAGCTGTTATATATCACAGTATCATAAACTCTGGAATTGTCACCAAAGCCCATTATCAAAGGACTGACTGCAAGCAATCAATTTGAGTCTTGCTGGATTCATAACAAAACTAGAATTAGCCTATACATTAGTGCTCTTGGTCAGGACTCTGATTTGGCCAGAATATGCAGGTCATTGATGCAAATGTCGTAAAAAAAACTCATTACATTAATGAGTAAGCATCCCCAGTGAGGATTTTTGGGAGCTGTTATTAGTCTTATAGTTATAATTCTTGTTAAACTATCACAGTTGAAATTCATTCCCCATTGCCACATACTCAAGCTTACTGGTTTTTAAATTAAAATTTATTTTTAGGTCAAGTGTCATTTTAGGCTGACAGGTATTTTCTAAACTGCTAGGTAATATAGGAACTCAGGCCTAGTTATCTTGTTGACCACACCACACACTAGAAAATGAAAGGACAACGACGTTTCGGTCCGTCCTTGATCATTCTCAAGTCGATTGTCTAGTTATCTTGGCTTGCCATCCTAGTCAGGGGTGGCTCCACCATGGACCCCATTGTAGCCTACATCTGAACCTCAAATGTATATATGAAATGTTTGTACTATGTATGTAATTAAGCTGCTTGTGTGAATGCAGTAATACACAGTTAATATAGTTCTCATTAATTAACAATTAATGTCAATATGAGATTTGGTTTCTAATTGGAAATTCCTTTAATTTCCAAGATTTTACATATCTCAGTCTTATTACTCGATAAAAAGATAAACCCTCTATTAGTGATTTATTATTATTAGTGTTATTAGCTGTTAATAGTGATTTGTGTTTTGTGTGAAAACTGTTTGTGGGTCACTGATTAGATTGGGGCATGTGGTTGTTTGTTTATATAGTGTTTACACTCCCTGTTCTCCTCTTTGCCATTCCCCCTCATGGATCCTGTGTGTGAGTGTACACACTATATTATGTAATATAATTTATACTTATATATTATAATTATATATTAATATAATATGTAATATAATATATAATATAATATAATTAATATAATATATAATATAATTATACAGTATATTAATTATATAATATAATTATATATAATTATATATATATAATTATATATTAATATATATGTAATAATATAATTTATACTTATGTATTAAAATTATATATTAATTAATTATATAGTTTTTTATATAATTTATATTTTATATAATTTATATTTTACTACCGGTCCCGGTAGTACAGTTGGGTTTGTTCTCAATGCATAATTGAGAATTCCGGATTCGAATCCCGAGTGGGACAAATAGCACATTTACATTTCGGTGGGCACATTTACTTTCATCTAATGAGCCTGTTCACCTAGCAGTCAGTAGGTACTCAGGAGTTAGCTTGTTGAGGGGTTTCATCCTGGGCGGGCTCAGTAATTCAACCTTTGGGGGGGGGGGGGCCTCGATGTAAGCCTAACGTGTATGAATGTACTCTGGCTGCCTGTCCTCCAACACAATGAATTATTTTTATTTTATACATATCACTAGAAGAATTTTGGAGCAAGTGGTATCAATATTTATAAAAATATATGTGAAAACAAGGGCTTGGGAGCATTTAATTTTTTTTCTTCTAAGTTTTAGGTTAAAAATAGAATTGTGGCGTTCCGTGAATTTTATAAGAGAACTTTAAATTATGGGGAAATATTTAAATAAAAATGTCAGAACTGACAAAATCAGGGTTTAATTAATGAAATTCTATACATATATGACAAGATGTGTGGAATTTTGTTTTTTAGTAATGTTGATTGATACAGTACTTGCAATGCAAACAATATGACACTACTGCAAAAATATCACATCTCTTTTTAATTCATTAAAGAACCATAAATATATTAATATTCTGTTAGTTATTTCATGTGCAGTTTTTGTTTCATATTAAAAGTAATACTGTACAATAATCTGTTGTAGAAGAAAAAACAACAAAAAATAGCTATGTATTGATTATTAAATTCTTACAAAATCATTTATTTTTTCAGATGGAAGCCTTAAAACAGCACAATAAATTGTGGTCAATAGAGGCAATGTTTCTTCATGATTACCTTGAAGTTCCTGTAAGTCGAGCAGTTTACGAAGCAGTTACTGGGTCAGCCGAATCTCCAGAGTCTCCGACGGCACACTTCAATGGTTCAGACAGGTATGGTGCCAGGTGGTGAGTTTCAGGAACCTTGCAGCTCAATTTTTAATAAGACATTTGCTGTGTGCAGAAAAAAATATGGGTAGGTATAGAAAAATAATTAAATAGTTAAGCAAATTTTCTTTCCCATGGTAGTGTTTTGATGGCTCTCTTGTTGGTCTGCAACAAGAGAGCCATCAGGAAAATACTTGTCAAAGCAAAAAAGTATTTGAACAAATAGAAGCAAATGTTCAAAGATATAATCTCTGAATAGACCAAGAACTATTAAGAGCTGGTGTACACCCTCACGCATCTGGTATCTAACTGTCCATACCCAAGCTCTGAAAATGGCTTTGTACGTTACTTAGGACAACTATGCACCTCGAGCCTACAGCCATAAGGGCAGCCTCCACGCACAGCAGCCTAGGCAAATATGGAGTGAGCATGAGCCAATTATCAGCATAATGGCTGCTAACATCCTCATGTTCATTATCAATGCAAGTGATCTCACACATAACTGCAGTGTCAGGGATTCTGAAGGGGGGTACAAATGGAGGGGGCTGAGCAATGCATAGAGAAGATTTACAGGCTTGGCCAGAACAACAAAGACAGAAATCCATTGATAAAGGTAGTATTCATGAATGAGGCCACTAAAGAGGACATGCTAGTAAGGAAGAGCAAACTGCAAAATGTAATTGCATACAAAAAAGGTATTCCTTCAGAGGGACATGACCAGGGATGATAGAATCCAGGCAGCAGATGCAGGGAAGGGAACCACAGTCCCCAACTCCCCATTCCCAGAAGGAAGTGGGGAACCCACAACCAGCAATTCAGAAACCCTCAGAGAACTGCAACACCCATACCTCCCATCCCATAGCCCCCACCCCAAGCCCTAACCCTCCTGATGCCCTACACAATGCTCATCATACCACCCAAATGCTTTCTCCCCCTCACCTGGGAACCCCCTTCCTCCCCATAACTTTGCCTTCCTAAGCAGGCCTAAGCAAGAGCTAAGCCCTCCATCCCCCACCTCCCTCCAAACCCCCTGGTAACTACCCCACATTACGACAGATCTACCCAAATAGCCCTGCCCATGGAACAGTTTCCTACACCAGTGGAGAAGATAATGGACATGTGGTAATTTTCTATATGGTAATGGACACAGGAAAGTGAGTTTTAAGGTAATGTACTACTCGTGAGTATAGGGTGCACAGTAAACTACCGCTCCTGAGTATAGAGTGCACAATAAACTACCACTCATGAGTATAGGAAATATAGTATGAGTAGGAAAGTATAAGGCGAGAGAGAGAAAGATGGATAGCTGATGCATATAACAAGCTCATGAAGGCCTGTTATATGTTATATGAAGGCCCTCATAAATGGGCCTCTAGGAGTAGGTTTTAACTTAGTTCTAATAGTTCCAAACTAAATTCTCATGAAGTTTGAGAATGTCTCAATGTAACATAAGTCTCACTGTTACATTCACAATAAATGAGTTTCTAGGAGCAGGTTTCAGATGAACTGAGGTAGGATAACAGCTCTTTCACTAGGTATGTCATTTGACAGCCCTTATGAACCCTAGTCTTGGTTAAAAAAAAAAAAAGTGGATGGCATGGATAGAGAGAGAGATTGAGGGAGGCGTGTGTATTTTATAGTAGCGTAGCATAGTCAGGTCATGGTCTAAATGTCCAATGTTCAATTCCCACAGTCTGAAGTGTTTTTGCTCACCAAGTCCTCTTTCCACTTAGCTTTAAATATTTACCTGGGAGCTATATGGTGCACTCTGGAAAAGGTCATTGGGGGCTTTATGACGACCTCAATAAACCTAACAGGCTTCCTGCCCTAGTCTTTGGATACCTAAACCATAACAGAAACATTTACAGTACGGTATCGTGAAGTGTAATCGGAGTGATACAGTACAGTATCGGTATTATTTATCGTTATATTTATAATTGTGTGTGTTAAGTGTGGTTAATACTTAATTGCATTTAACTTATTCTGCAGGTTGTAGGATAAGATTTTCATAAAATATGATTTTATTTTTCAGAAGTTCTGATACCAGCAGTTCACCTAGTAGTACTCCGAAGGTGAGCCGATCACCATCAACATCCAGTGGTCTGCATGACTGCTCTGAAACCAGCCCAAATGACTTCCTATCCAAGATAGACTCTAACATCGCCCTCATGAAATCCAGTATCGAGAGAATGGAGACACATGCATAGTAAGTCGGGCAAACCCCAATATAGCATATCATTCATGTTGCATAGACAAGAAATGTACCTTGGGCATGAACCTGTATTAATAACAACTGACGGTTTATTTATAACACATTTGTTTAATCACCGAGGATAAAACAGATAATTTGTGAATTTTTATCTTGAATGAGGTTTATGGGATAAAATAGTAGTTGACTTAAGCTCTTCTGCATTAGCATAACATAGAGATGAGACCTTACAGGTTTATAATCTCCCTTAGGTGAATATATATTTTCCTTCCATAGATTTTTATGCATTAAAGGTACCATTGTTTGGTAGCAATGCCTTGCATGTTAGAAATATCTGGTAATGGGAATGGTATTCTAATTAGATATGATATTATTTTTGTGTATAGAATTTAAATATAGAATATGCATATTTTAGATAATCTACTAAAGAATCAATAGGTGCCATAGACTCGTGTACCACACCTCAAGTTAGGAAACAGTTTATTATATAAGCTGTGCTATAGGCCCGGTATAGGTTTAATGCTTTCCTCTTTGCTACAAATGAAGCGCTATAAATTTAGCATTTTTAGATTACAGTATAATTAATTTACTTTAGTATTATGTCAATTGTGATGGTCAGTATATGTAAGCTTAAAGAATATTATATTTGTCCAATCCTATTAAAGGGAATTCCTGTGAGAAATGTGTTACTAGAAATATGGGTAATTGGGATTAAGGCACTTAAGTTTTTAGCCATTTTCTCTCCATTTTAATTTTACTAGCTTTCTTAGACTTCAAATTGGATGGGCATATTTCATCTAGCCAGGAGATCAATAAGACACAGGTGTCAGGCATTAGCAACTTGCAGCTAAACAAATGTCTATCATATTCTGAGTTGGGGACTATTCAAATATATCTTAATGGCAAGATCACAATTAAGAGATTTAAAAGAAACACAATTTGAAAGAAAAATATATTTCCAATCTTCAGATTACAGTACAGTACACTATTATTATTATTTTTTTACATTGTAATTTAGTTATAGAATATTAACGACAGTAGACACACGAGACATTTTAGGGGAAAAAACCCAGTGTGGCAAAGGAACAGTGCTACAGAAGTGTAATACCTGGTTCTCGTCCACCAAAAACATGTGTTTTCAAGTTGATTGAATTCATCACCTAGACCTGTAACTTGCTGTGCTACACTTGTACTACATCAATACTGGATTGGATTTTAACTGTCGGTACTTTCCATGATGCAGGCCACCTCAGCCTGGAAGCTAGGGCCTGTCCTCTGTAGGACCATCTGCCAAAGAATCACATTTTTTGCTTAACTTCATTGTTTAAAGTAATTTTTGTAGATGAACAGACATTTGGGTGCATCACACACCACTGTATAGTATTAGCAATTTGTAACTGAGGAATACGGCAACAGAATAAGAGGTCAGTAGTGGCAAGATTAATTTTTATGTTGCTGTTTGTAAAGGATTAAAGGCACAACTCATTAGAAAGGATCATTATACAAAATTACACAATAACCCTCCACTCACATTCATATTGTATCTCACATTTTCATACACTTGGTAACACCTCCCATCCCCCCCATGATGAATCCCCAGAAGCTTGGGATGAGTGGGTGGTGAAACCATCAAAGGGCCGAACATGCATTCCCTTAAAATTGTTGACTTTGTTTCTATCGGTAGTTTCATGATGCAGTATCACCAAGTTGCAGTATTAATTGCTAACATTTTTAATACTATACTGTCTTGCAGCCAGTGTGCAAGCCCTCCCTCACTTCTGTTCACTCACAAACCCACCTCTCCATGTCCCTTTGCCTGAAGGATTAATTTGAATATAAATTTTCTTATTTATCTAGGCCTTAAAAGGATATCTTTAAGTGTGGCCATAATTATTTGCAGTATAATCCAGTGTCAGACAACTTAAAGTTGATCCCGAGGTAATGCCATAAATCGAACTACAGGTTACCCAAAATTAGGTTATATCCATGAGGACTTTGAGAGATGACTCACCTCTAAACAGAAGTGACCTTACACTTCATCCTGTATATACTGTATGTTTAATATACAGCACTGTATATGTTTATTCTAAGGAGACTTAAAATTGTTGATACAGTTGCCTGTACCTACACCCAGCTCTGAGGTGGCCCATCTTTTTTTGGTGCATTGAAACTTCTATAGACATATTTTGGTTAATATAAAAATTACATCTACTGGCTAGATTAAATGCATAATTTTCTTTTTAAATTTATTGCGCTGGGCTATAAAGTTAGTATCAAAACACTAAGCCATTGCTGGTTAATGCAGTTGTGCATTACCTACGTTGATGTACAAGCCTGGCCAAATCACTATGGACAATCTGCTTGCATTGTCACAAAATATCTGCTTCAAAAATGCAAACTTATTCTATAAGCACCATAACCTTAAGGATATTTTGCAGTTGAATTTATAACTAGAAGAAGATTTTTAATTTTGATAATGAATTAGCCCTATCCAGATAATATTCATTAATTCAGAGCAGAAAATTATTGAATTGGTATTCAATTTTATTAGAAAAAAGTTTTGTCATATGAGCTTCCTTTTTTGTTTGATCCATCACACAAAACCATTCAGTCAATTTTAGCTTACACATGAAGTAATTCTGTCATCATCGAGTTAAGGATTTATCTGTTGTAATTTTAACGAACCTGATTTTTTCTCTCCCTATTTTAACACACATTCTCTAGTTTTTCAATCAAATTTTGCTGGGCTATTGATCAGTTACTACAATTAATTTACCATAAAAGTATAATTGAGTACATTACATTTATGTGGGGCTGTATGTTGTATAGTGTGTATGTAATTACCTAAGTGTAATTACTGAATAAGGGCTACGCTCATGGTGTCCCGTCTTCCCAGTACTCTTTGTCATATAACACTTTGAAATTACTGATGAGTTTGGCCTCCACCACCTTCTCACTTAGCTTGTTCCAACTCTCTACCACTCTGTTTGCAAAAGAAAACATGCTAATGTTTTTTTTGGCACCTTTGTTTTCTTAGCTTGAAGCTGTGTCCTCTTGTTCGTGATGTTGCTGGTGTTTTTGTGTGTATATGTGTGTGCGTATGTTTTTTAACCCTGGTTGAAGCTGATTGTTGAAAAAAGTAAATGCAAAAACATTACTCAGGCTATGGTAGCATTTTGCTTAAAGTATGTTACATGTTTTTAGTTAGCCTTAGTAAATGGCCTTAACAACTCAAATTATTTACCAGCTCAGTATATATTATAGATAATATATTATAATATATATATTATATACATATATATTATGTACATATATATTTAATACATATATATTTTATACATATATATTATATACTTATATTATATACATATGCGAACAAGCCTGAATGGTTCCCAGGCATACATGCAACTATTGTATATACTGTAGTTGCATGTATTTTTTTTATAGTTGCACACATTTTTTTTACATTTTCTAATGGTCACAGACAGTAATAGAATACTTCACAAAACTTGGTCAATGTTTTGTGGTGTTTAAAGGAAGTGGCAGGATTAATATTGGTGCTAAACTTAGGTATTACCAATGTACTACATCTGTAGTGAGAAGTACTATTTTTGCACGGTTATTCTTGTTTACCCTTTTTTTACCCAATCAGATTTTTGCCGCCGTTTTCATGCAGCTAAGAACGCTTTACCACTTGTATAACTATTCTTCCTCAGATTGATAATCCAAATTTTAGAAGTTGGTTACTCCAGTAGTTGTCTTTTCCATTGCATTCTAATACATATAGTTTGTGTGTATATAATGATTTTTTGTCCTTTCATTTCTTGACACATTTCATTTCTTAAGTGCTCCTCATCTCTTCTCTCATAGTTCTTATATATGCACACAAAAACACACTTGCAATTCATGTACTATTATGCATATGCATAAACAAACCTGCAAACAATTATCACAAGTTTTATATTTTGTAGAGACTTTACCCACGAAGCTAATTTTATGATATTGGGGTAATTATTCCAGTAATTGATGGCATTCGGTTAGAGTAAGAAAAGTGAATAATGTCTATTTGGCCACATTTTGGAATAATTACTTCTGTTTTTTATAACCACCTTCAGTTTTGTTTGATCATTTAGATGTAAAGTATTTTCCATAGTTTGTAACTATAGATAAGTGATATTAGATGCATTAAGCATATAATGTTTTGTAGATTGGCTGTGATAGTGCACCGTTACTACGGACACCGGTGTTAAGATGCTCATTGTATGATATTTGTTAGTAGGGATAGATAGCAAATTGTTTGCTGTCCCTAATGTGGAAGCCTGCAGTCAGGTGGATACAAGTATATTCCAGCATAAAGTAGGTTTAATTAGAGATGAAATCTTAGTATTTTTGCTCTAGACAAAACTACAGTAGTGTTTGCTACGTTTGCCCGACATTTGGCATTCTACTCCATGATACCTAGGATCTATTGTGTTCAAGTACAAGTAATTTATTTTTCATAATTTTATTTGGATAAATTTCATCCTTTAACAGTATGAGCCTCATGACAGACTTGTTAACTGTTAAACGATCGCTGTCCAGTGTAAGAGTGCTGTTCAATAGCATTGTAAATGATACATTCAGGTTACTGTAATTTGTATGTAACATCTCTGCTGTTTTGGTGTGCAATGACACAGTCGTATTTGTCACGTCATCGTCATCGCCTCTTCATGGCCAGTATACATGCTTTTAACAAGACCTTTTCGGTTAGAAATTATTTTTCACAAATGGCAGTTAAAATGTTTATATTTGATGGTTGTACTAGCTGGCTGAAGATGATCAAGTTGCTGGTAAAAGAGGTGTGCAGGGTTTCAAATGGTTTCTTTACTGAATTTGTATCTCTCAGTACACGCCTTTATTAAATTATAAGACTATACATTGTAAAAGTTTAACAGTGTAATGCACTTTATTTTTAATAAAGTTCCTGTGTCAAGATCACAAGTTTTATTTGAAATCCTGCTCATTAAGTTAGACTTTTAATAATGTTTGTAAGTACTGTACAGTAAATCATTTTTTGAATTTTCACCAATTGCAAACTGATTGTTTCTTGCATCTTTAGTCTTGTCTATCATTGAAATTTATGGCACTGTCTTAAGCAGCTTGATCACTAAATTTGCCGCTTTCAAATTTCTTAGCTTTGTGTGCAGCATCTTCAAAAGTACAAGCTTGGTATCTAATCCCTCATCTTGAATCTATTCTTTTTCTAAAATAAGCTTACGCTTAACAAAATTTAAAAGTGTAACAGCGTTTTGGTTCTTTAGGGATAACGTTTTGTCAGGTTGAAGGAAGTGACCAAGATTGATTGATGAAGATTAAGCCACCCTAAAGGTGGCACGGGCATGAATAGCCCATAAGTGGTGGAGTGACCAAGGGGTTTTTGTCTCTGCTTTGTCTCATCAAGCAGTATTGCTGTGCACATATTTCTTAGTACTATATTTTATATTTTGTGCTAGGTACAGTAGTTTAAACCGAAGACCTGAAAGTTTTCACATGGGGTAATGTTTTGTGTTTTTGCAGTTTTCATTCTGTCAGGAATTATTTAAATAACTAAATTTTGTCATGGGAACTTGTTTATATGTATACATAGTGAGGGGTGTGTGTGTGTGTAATTAAGTATAATTACCTAAGTGTAGTTACAGGATGAGAGCTATGCTCATGGTGTCCCATCTTCCCAGCACTCTTTGTCATATAACATATTTGAAACTACTGGTGGTCTTGGCCTCCACCACCTTCATATATGGAATAAAGGAAGCTCATGGATGATGATAGAGTTCGAACTGGTGACAGAGTGAACACCGGGTTCGACCTCCAAGTCTGACCATGACGCTCTCTCTTCTCTTTATTGAGCATTCTAGTGACATTTTTATTAATTGTTTTGTCTATTGTTTTTTTTTTTTTTTTAGTATATATAACATTGTCTTGGAAAGTTGTTCTGCATAAGCATAAATTATATACTGAAATTCTAAACAAACTACTTGGCAAATTCTGCATCACTGGAGAGAAGCAGAAAATAACCAATGTAGTATCAACATGGAACCAAAAAATGGCGAGAGGGAAAGCCTTTGACTAATACACCTGACATGCATCCTCTGTAAAGGTGATGGAGAGGGCTAGTAAAGAGCTAGTAAAAATTGGTTAGAAATGATTTGGTAAGTATAAGCCTCATTCCAGACCAACACCATGGATTTAGGGAAGAAAAATCATTCCTCACTTGCTTAAGATTTGCATGTTTGACTGAAGTAAAGCGAGAAATGGAAGGGTGGGAGGACTGCATGTCCTATACTAGCAGGGTGCCTATTTTATTGCCTCAAACAGCCGAATCTTTTATTATATGAATCATACCCTATACACCCTGCTAGTATAGGACACTGAGATAACCCATAAAAGTCATTTGTACAGCCAAGCATAAAGGTTGGAGACAATATGTCTCCACGGACACCGTTAACACACTTTCCCCAGGTCTGGAAGACAATGTATCTTCATAAGATTGTAGGCAAGTATCCCTCCTTCATTTTCATGATTTCATTGTTGCAAAGTCAGCATTAATCTCAAATAAGCTGGTTCACAATTTTCAGCCATTAGCATGGGTTCTCACCTCCATCCTGACTTCCTTGCTCTTAAGCTAGTGCCACTCTGCTAACTATGAGATACTCCACTAACTCCTACCTTGGACTGTTGTTAATGTAATGCATGTTCCTAATATAATAATATTAATTGAAATAAATCAATATGAAAAGAAATATTTGAAAATAACAAAATTCACTGCTTCTTGGGCAAATCGGGCCTTGCATGCTACGCCAAGTAGTGCAGTTCTGGCTATTAGGTGCGATGTGTGTGTAATTGCCTAAGTGTAGTTACAGGATGAGAGCCATGCTTGTGGTGTCCCTTCTTCATAATACTCTTTCTGCCTATCTCGTAACTGCTGTGTATTTGTTTCTTGCTGGCTTGTGATGGTATGTTTGAGTGTTAGGCCTCTTCCTATATTGCACCCATTTTCTCATCTTTCCTCTCTGGTAAGAAAAGAGAATGTCTTGTCAATAATGTAGCTCTTACAATTCACTACTACGGTATGCTTCTACCAGTGACAGGATAAGGGAAGCACCAGTCTCTCACTTCTACACACAGTTATATCCTAAGCCCTGACTGGCAGAATTTCAACCGTAACCTTTACCAGCCATCACTTATTTTCCAACAACATAATACTGTAGTTTTGACCAGCTATACAACTTTTAACATAACCACATATCATAGCTTTGACCAGTTACAAAGTACTTCACCCTGTCCTACTAGGTTTTGTGCCTTCTTTTTATATTTACTTATTCACCTTATCTTACTGAAGTAGCTGGAGGTGAATAATATATTCCTGAATCTGGTTTTCTAGCCTTAATGAACTTGGTTCCTTACAGGCTATCTGAAATAACACAAATCAAAGGTATAAGGTGGGAATTACAAAGCTGACTAACTCTTGGCCACCTATTTAGTGCTAGGTGGACAGGAGCATTAGGTGAAAGAAAATGTGGCCAACCACTTCTGTCCCGTCTGGGATTCGAACCCAGAATTCTCGATTGTGGATCGAAAACGAATCCGACTGTACAGTACTACCGGGACCCTAGCTACCGGCACAATGTACTACCGGTAGCTAGGGTCCCTAGCTACTGGTATATATTAAATGAATATAATCTAATGAATAAGGTACTATTTATAAATATCACACCTACACACTGTTAATATTAATTAACACATCAAACTCTTGCCTATCTCCGAAGTTCTAATACTTGTCGCGAATACTAACATTTCACATTACAGTAATCTGGGGAGAATACTGTACTGAAATTCAATGATGATGGAATTAGACTTGACAATACTGGACATTTGACCTAAGCAGATATAACTGGGCACTTTCACTTATAAAGAACATGTAATTTATTTCCTCACACCCCATAACGAAGATTCATCAAACAGTTGTTGTATGTACTTTGTTACTGGCGTTCACATAGGCTGTCTGTACCATCCCTGTTTTTTACTTTTGTGAGACCAAAATTGGAATATGCAGCAGTTATATAGTGCCCATATCTCAAGAAACACATCAGTAAACTGGAAAATATGCCAAAGCATGCTACAAAATGGCTTCTGGAACTGAAAAACAAAAGTTACAAAGAGGCTAGAGGCATTAAATATGCCATAGCAAGACGATAGAAGAAAAAGAGGTGATATGAAGAAGAAAAAGAGGTGATATGAATACCACTTGCAAAATAGTAATGAGAATTGACCAAATTGACAAAGATATATTCCTGAAATATTCCTGAAACTGGTAACCCCAAGAACAAGAGGTCATAGATTCAGGCTAAGAAACAGGTACCAAAGGTGATGGTTAGAACAAGTTAAGTGAGAAAGTGGTGGAAGCCAAAACTGTCAATAGTTTCAAAGTGTTACATGAGTGCTGGGAAGATTGGATGCCACGAGCGTAGCTCTCATCCTGTGACTACACTTGGGTACACACTCACTCACTATCAACATCCATACCCAAGGCAAGCTCAAAATTTTTTAAGTCATTAGCATCATCTGAGAAGGCTTCACATTGTACCCTGCAAGATCAGAGTTCATGATAATACTATACATAACTGGTCCCCATGCAAGAAAACCACTGCATTTTCCTTAAAGAATTCCCAGGCTTTACAAACTTGTCAGGGTATGTGTATGTAAACTGTTATGTTACAATCTGGGATTTCCAACTTTGTCGAGTTCCACAATTTATCTAGAGGCTCGTCATAGGTTATTATACCATACCCTGGCCTATTTCCAAATGAAAATATACATATTAAAAAAAGTATTGTTTGTCAGTAGTTCACATATAGTATTGTGCCGTGTGTGTAGTTAGGTTCTACAGTATTTTAACAGTTACATGTATTTCAGCCCAATGGTGGACAGAATGGAGGTGGATGACTCTGGATGTAGTAATAGCCGACGGTCTTACCATTCTAAGGTACGTGACAACATTTATCAAAATGGATGGCATGATCCTACAGCTGCACCTCACCCAGTTGTCACCCAGGGGCGCACCATAACGATGTCTCTTAAAAGACTACTACGAGAACACGAGGAATTATATGAATTATAGCAGTTTTGTGCTAACTTTCTAGTACTGTAATTGTATTTGGCCATAAACAGGATGGGATAAAAGCAGCTATTTCTCAAGATAGAGTGATTGTATTGTACTACATGTGGCCGTAGCATTGTCCAGATTTATGTATAAGTATGTTGTTACGAGCGATGGAATGAAAGAATGAATGAACTTGCTCCCCCTATTATTAGGAAATTGTATATAATATTATAAACACTGAAATGTGATTATGAATAACTATATATAAATATATATAAATATATTACGTGTGAGTGTGTGTATTTAACAAAATTATATGTGATATATTAAGTGATACTGTATCTTGAAGTGGTTTAGTTGATAAAGTCCAATAATATGGCTTAACATTTGTATGAAATATACTCACTATCCCATAAAGCAGTATTTATGTTGAAGTTACAAAGCAAGTGTATGAATTTGTAGTACGAATAAAAGATGAATATTGTTATTTTAATTAATTTTATTTGAAGTGTTAGCCAAGTTTGAAAAAGTTGTGTATTACCCAACACATCATAAGATATTGAAACCTGCCAGCTACATAAGTGTATACTTGTAACCCTATATTTTGCTAGTATTTAATGGAATTCTGTTCTTAATTTTTGTTTTAGGTAGAAATTTCAGACAGTATCATCTTTAGAAAGTTGTACTAAACATAACTTCATGGACAAAATTCGTGAACTTAAAATAGCCAAAGAGCAATCAATGTCTTTAATGCACATTTGATATAGAACCAAAGGCAGTTTAGTTTCATCTTAAAAAAAATGTTGATACATTTTCAGTAGTGTACATCAAAGGGGTGGGTGATGTATTATTAGATACAGTACTTGTATTGCAAGCGATGAGTCACAGTAACGTGGCTAAAGTGTGTGGTCTGGTCACCAGTACTTGTATTAATCATAAATAGCATTCATGATACTGGTAATTCTCCAAGTGCACTGAGACTGCATACAAATGGGTGATAGGCTTATCCGTATTCTTCAGTGTGTTACTACATTCCATTTAACTGTTTTACTGTCTGTATGTGCAGTCTCTCTTCTTGGTGCTACACCAATGTGAGAGATGCATTTTGAATGCTTGCAACCTCATTAATAGAATTAGTTTTTAGTGCCTTTCGTTGCTGTACAAGTCCTTAATGTTTGAATTTCGGTATAAAGAAACTGACATTAGAATTAATATTGACTAATTTGTAGTGTCTACTATCATTTCTTGCCTTAATTACATTACTGTGGAACATGGCATGATCATACTGCGACTTGACACTGAAGGACTAACCACTGCCACTGTGCCAAACTACTTGTTCTTCAAAGCAGCCAGATGGAACGATTCAGGAATCCCTAACTGGATTCTTCCCATGCATATTTATATGTTGATACGCCTGTATGAAATGTTGCAGCTCAGTAGATTTCATAGTTGAATGAAGTGACTTGGATTTATACCTCGCTGGCTCCGGTGACTCCTGAAAGTAACACCATGATAGAATTTTGATATTTCTTATTCATAAGGAATAATGCTGTCCTTGTGGCCTGTGTCCCTGTGGTATTAATTTTTTTCAAACATAAATACCTCTGCTGCTGTTTAATTTGTCTGCACTCTACCTGAATATGCAGCTACCATAAGACGGCTGGTTTCAGTTCAATTTTTGTTTTCTTAAACTTCCCTAATCTCTTTGGCATATCTTAATCATACAAAATGCTTAAGTTTTCTCATTAATCTAAGAGGATAATCTTGTATTGGGACATATCAACCTACAGAATAATTCTTCAACCTTTTTAAATGTGGCTGCACCGCTCTTATAATAAGCTTTGGCTTGCACTGGCCAACGTGTTTGGAACCATATCTGCCCGATTCATCGTCCTTCAAGTACATATTATGTACATTTATTATTTGTGTGTAAGGGATATACGTAATGTTAAATATATAAATGTAAATATGTAAGCATGCCTATTATTAATGTCATAAGGTAATTTGTTCATTGTTGTGAACATTACAAAGAAATTAATTTGAATTGACTAAAGAAAAGGTGGAGCTCATTAACCAAACTTACTTTGAATGTAATATATGTACTATGTAATTATAAATTAATACTTTAAATTTTGTATTATGCTTATCTGAAAGTCTTTGTATATGCTGCTAATAAAAAAATATTGATATACAGTAGTTAATCAAAACGTTTTTCAATAAATGCTTGTTTCCCGAATCAGAGCCAAAAATGATACCACTATATTATATACCATCTAAATTTGAATGAAATTAACTTGATGAGAGTAGACTAATTTTGTAATTAATGTTTTGCCTTAGAGACATAATGTTAGCTACAATAGTTTGGCATTTCTCTGCATTATTGTCAGCTGTGTTTCCCCTTTGGTATATCCAATTTTCTAAATTTTATGCCATTTTGTGGTCATGATTGTATAGTTTACTATGTTGTATAATCTTCCAGACTTGGCAACTCTTTTTGACAATTATTTACTGTATGTTCTTTTTTTTATTAGCATCAGTGATAGAGCATGTATTTGCACACATTGTATATGCCTATCTTGAAAACCCTATTGTAAATTTGAAATACAATTAATCGGTAAGATTTTCCCATATAGCCCCATTATGTTACCTGATATGCCTTTCAATGGAATTTTTGTCCGGTCTGCTAAGCCTTCACTTGGCAACACAACACAAAGTATTGTACAGTATGTCTTTCCTCTCTTGCTGTTATGTCTTGATTTATTTTGTTATCTTTATTAGCTTTATCATTTTGTGCTTTACTGCCTCATTGTGTGTGTTTCCCTGACTGAATGTAATGCAGCCTTAGGTGCTGGCAGGCCCCAATATATGTGATGCACATGTAGGTTACCTTGTGATGATTTCGGGGCTTAGCGTTCCTGTGGCCCGGTCATTGCCCAGGCCTCCTGGTTGCTGGACTGGTCAACCAGGCCTGTGAATACTAAGGGTTGAGGACATGATGACTGAATGTCATCGCCATTTAATTGGTGTAAATGCATGCATTCTGGCATGCTCATTCACCTGTTCAATCTACATAAATTAATTATCACTTTTGCACAGAACAGTACTCGTATTCCTACACATTTATGCACACATTCAAACGTTACCTGACATGCACTCCCACACACAGTTGTACAAGATTTTCCGGTACACTAAAATACTGGTACAGTACTGTACTTAATCATCACTTTTTGTTTTTAGGACAAATTGTATTTTTGCACCATTATTTTTTAGGCAGAAATTTGTTTAAAATTAGACAATATTATTAGTTTGAAGATTATTAGTTTGAAAAAGATATCTTTTCCTCATTATAAATTGGTTTAAAATCTTAAATTAAATTGTTATTCTGGTTCAGTATGAATGCAATGTGTGTAAACATTTCATATACAGTACCAGTACAATTTTGTACAATAGACCCTTGGAAATCTTTATATCAATAATCTGGAAACCTTAAATATTTTCACAAATTTGGCATGCTTAATACAGCTTGAACACTTAGATCAGAACCTGGACTTGAGTACTGTATCTAAATAGACCAGACAAACTCAACATAAGAATACTGTACCAGCAAATCGTATGTTGCTGAAATATTTATTATTACATGTATAGAGCTTTAGTAGTTATTTAAAAAACTTTATTTTTTATAAAGAGGTGCAATTGTGGGGATCCATAACCTCAGAAGGAAATAAAGAGCATTCAGAGAAAATCTTGTTGTTTGTCTCTGAATATGTGTAAACATTTGCTTCTGCCACTATAATTTTATTATTATATATATTGAGAAAGTCTGTAGGCACAGTGATATGGGTTTGAACCTATGCGGAGGATGTTCCCACGCACATGCTTCTAGCAACTAGACTATGACATGGTATAAGGATTGCAAACTGGATTGTTTTCTGTGTATTAAAAGAGGAGTGTCAGAGGTAGAACAAGTTCTAGATGACAGAGCCAGAGTGCATGGGGGATTGTGTGAAAATCCTGTTCCGGTTTTAGTAGAAGCCTCGGGAAATCCTTGTGTGGTCAGTAAAACTCCAGATTACAATCCTTATACCATGTCATGGTCTAGTCACTAGAAGCATGTGCGTGGGAACACCCACCGCATAGGTTCGAACTCATCTTGTGCTCCGGATTTTCTCATTGATGCAGTCACGTTAGTGTGATTACTCTCTATTATAAATATTATTATACAAAGTTACAGAAATGATTGGGTACAAGATAGGAACATTAAAAAATAAAAAGTTTGTTTGCTAGAAAGTGCAGATATCTTTGAACTCCTCCGATGGTGAGAAAGGATGCAGTAAGTATTTCCTACTGTATTTCCTTTCTGGATCACCACATAGAGATTCCAGTAAAGGAACCTTACTACCCTACCTCTTGTTTCAGTGAACTGCTCTAGGAGTCTTGTTGTTTCAGTGAACTGCTCTAGGAGTCTCTTATTGTTTCAATGTGCCTGGAGCCCAGATCCTTGAGAAAACTCCTTGCATTTTCTACCCATGGCCAAGAGTCTGAGAGTTATATAGGAACAAAGTTATACCAGTGATCTATTTCCTTGTACTTGTTTGATTTGACACTTTTCCCATGTGTTTCAGAGTGATCTGCTTGATTAAGAGAGGTGATGATGTATGTGGCTACCCAAGGTAGACACATGGGTGTAGCCCCATGCCAGTTGTCTGCCAGGCATGGGGCAGACAATATTGTAATTCTATCTGGTCAAACAGGTCAGCTTGGAATTGGCTAACTTGTTTTGAACATTAGAATGCAATCATTTATTCAGTTACTCATATTTTCATTTGTCTAGATATCTGAATGTACTAATTGGTCACACAATAATTAATTGTGCATTATCTACAGCACTGTAATTGCTCTCAACCCCTCTCCACTTTCATGTTTGAGCTTTTATGTCTGGTGTTTATAAGGTTTGGGTTCAGGGCTGATATGGCCAAAACTTCTCCCTGGCATCTACTAGAGAGGAGTTTCCCTGCCTATGTCTATGATTGTCTGGGTAGCTAGATCCCCTTATTCATTGTCTTATTCCTGGGTAGGTTGTTTTTACTTCACCACCCTCCTTTTCTGTTCTGGACTCTGCAGTTCCTTCATAAAGGTAACTGTCTCTGCCTGTTGATGCAGGACTGCCATGGTGGGATGCTGGCCCACACCAGAGCTCTGGTGTGCCTGTGCCATATTGTTACCTTGTGGTTCTGGCTTTGGCTTTGCTTTTTTTCACTGCCCAATACAGTATTTTTTTTCTTGCGTGGTTTACTTGTTTATAAAAAAATAAACCAGCATCATAAGACTATTACACAGTGATATATATATTACACAGTGGGCAGACTGTGGCTTTCATGTATGCCTTTGCTTCATTAATCCAGATGTGGTGGCTTCTGTTGCTGGCGAGAGGATGGTGGTTCTTGCTTTTGGGTGTTCTCCACAGGAACTTCCTCTTTTGTGCCAACAGGTTGGATCATGATTTCATTCTTTTGTTTCATTTCTAGGTTCCTAGTTTAATCTCGCCATTCCTTCCTTCCGTCCCACCCCAAATATGTATCCTCATGTCCCTTCCAAGTGCTACATAGTCACAATGGCTTAGAACTTCCTCCTCGTGCTAACCTTGGGACATTTGCATGTTTTGATTGAAGGAAACCACTGCTGGCTGCAGTGGTTGGGTTGTTCACTTTGGGGTTTTGATAGTGGCCTCATAGCCTGCTTGTGTCTTACCAGCCCCAGGATTTTGTAGTGCACTGCGAAGGGAGGCAAGTCTCCAGGAAAGTAGGGTCGGTGGCTTCAGTGCCTGGCACCCATTTCCTCTCCTGACTTGGTGACTTCTTTTGATAATGACTGGCTAACTTTTCCACCCTCACAGACACTGGATGCCTTCTGTGACATTAATTTTTTCCATTGCTTTGATTGCTATTGAAAAGGGACTCTAATGAACCTCTATTTTGAATCAACATAGGAAGGATTAATATTTGTTTAAATAAATCTTGGAATACAAAAGAGCTAATGCCTTGTAGTACAAGATCATACATATGGTGCAGCAGGGTGGTGAAGTTCAGAAATTTGGCATTTTGCAGCTGGTCTGAAAGTGGTTGCAAGATTATCCCAACCGCTGTTGAGTTAAGTTTGCAACTGCATAACTTGATCTGAATGTATTGCAAATGGTTAAAGGGTTGGTGTGAAAAATTTGTGTCTAAAGATGATATAGTTTATTTTATTATTTTTCTGCATATAAATGAAATATAAATCTAATAGAGTATATACTGTACAGTACTTGGTAAAAAGACATGATCCCATATGAATGTGAGAGCCGAGTGACAAATAATTTAATTTATTATAGTACTGTACTGTACATAAAACAAACACTTGTGTGTATTTTCTTCCATAACTATCGGTGAAACACCATACACTTTCCTTAGCATCACTAGTAGCAGCTGACTTAGGGTCTAGACCAGTGGACACTTATAGACCTCGTTCTCTTCACTGGTTCAGAAGAATCTTTGCTTACACTTGTACAAGGCATAGCTAGGTTTGCTTCTGACTTTCTCTCTCACTCAGACAGATACATAGATAAGCTAGGGGGTTGCCTGTATGATAACGAAGTAAATTGTCATATTACATTTGAAGTACCGGTACCTGTTGTCATAAAACTTTCACCTCTTTAAGCTAATACTCATTCTAGTTTTAAATGTTATGATTTGTTTCCAGAAAGCATACCAGGATTGATTAGGTATTGTGTGTATTATGACGATCAAAACTTACATTGCTTTTCACACTTTTTGTTACATGTTCTTATGTTTTATCAGAAAAAAAGCTTTAATTATTTTGTATTGAACATTTCTGATAGAAGGAAACGATATTGAAGCATGAGCTATCTTAAAATAAAAAAAGTAGATTTTCAGATATGTGTGAGCCACTGGCAAAGGTATCTTTTTATAGCAGTATAGGTTAGGAGTAACATTCTTCATCCATGTTTAAAGAATAAAACATCAATTTTGAGCCTTGGGTAGACCTGTCATTGCAACAACTTCATCACTCTGAGAGTAATTAGCAAAGCCTTTTTCGATGTTCAAGAGAGATGAGGCTATTGATGTATGTAATGACCCACAGTTTGATAAAAAATATAGTAAAGCTTCCCTAACCCTAAGGATACCTGATCAATCAGGCTGTGATTCATGTCAGGCTTCAAGCAGCCGCATCTAATAGCCTGGTTGACAAGTCCAGCAACGAGGAGGCCTGGTCAAGGACTGGACCGTGGGGACGTGTTTGGGTCTATCCTGCATCTACAGCCAATATTGTACATACAGGTAGTTTCCCACTAACCAGCAAGGCGACAGGTGCTGCATTTCCTTCATGTGCAATCAAATCCACGCACAACTCCATTCGCTGACCCATACTGTCAACTTTCATACACTGGCAACTCTTATTCCCTTTACATCCAAACACTACTCCTTTATTATCATCTCTTATTGTATATCCATACTACTCCATACTAGCACTCCTTGTTTCCACACTTCTCCATATGTTGCTAGCATTCCTTGAATCCTCACACCCCTCCGTACTGATATCTTTTGTACGTGCTAAGTCCTGTTTCCTTTATTTTTTCCCCTGTTTATAGCGTATTGTCATTCATCATGATTTGCACTGAGCTGCTGCCTCAATCAGACATAGCTGCACGTCCTCATATCTTCAAGGCATCTGCTTGTCTTTCTTGACTTTGATGCTCCTCTGCTACACACCATTATTCTTTAGACTGGGTATTCAACATTTTACAAAGCTTTTTAATTCATCTGCTACTCTTCGTTGATCTTTTTCAATTTTGCCTCTCCAGGTTTCTTTATATTAGCCAGGCCACATGCTTGCTGCTGGTTGATGGCAAACGTGTTTAGAAACAATTGTGGTCGTTCAAGTTTGTTGTTTTGTTCTACCAGTACCCTGCTGGTTATGTTTGTATAAAGCCAAATATTTACCCATAAATTTGTAGGTGCATTTCAGAATAAACCTCCTCTGCAAAATGTTGAATAAATGGGAGTCCCTGCTCTGCATTTGGTGTTTTCTTCACAACTTGTTTACTGTCTCCCGTGTTCCTTGAAGATATGTTCAGTATACTATTCTGGATCTATGTCGGTGACCTAACAGTGGTGGCTGAATCCTATTTGTCAATGTTTGCGAATGACCAAATTAATAACAAAGACTTCAGAAAACTCCAGAAAGACTTACAGGCTGTTGAGAGGCTCTGAAGCATTCATTGGAATTTAATAACAGTAAGTATAATGATCGGAATGGAATAGGTAACAGATCAACTGGCCAGAATTAATTTGAAGGGACCTACTTGCCAGAATCATTTAGAGAAAAAGGCACAGAAGTAGATATTCATAACTCGGTGAGTTTGGGGACTTGTAGACCAGTCTGTTTTAAGACGTAAAAATGAGTGTTTAAGCTCAAACTTCACAAGCACACACAGGTGCATATACTCATATAGTGAATCCCTGCATAATCTAAACTCAAACACGTGGTTTTTAATGTGCTGGGAAAACGGGACACCACGAGTGTAGCTCTCATCTTGTAACTACACTTAGTGTAGTTACATATGTAGTGTAGTGAAATGTGATCACATTTCAGACAAAATAAATGCATAGCATGAAAATATTTTGTGTGGTTTGAGTTTGTGAAGGTTTTCTTGTATTTTACTATGGACTATGTTCTTGCGTCAAG